ATGTAGATGACATTATTATTGCTGATTCAAATATGTTTAAAATTGGAGAAATAAAATCCTATTTTAAGGAAGAATTTGAGATGGAGGACAATGGTGACCTCTATTATTTTTTGGGATTGAAAATAAATTATGACAAGACTGTTGATAAATTATATATTAATCAAACACAATATTTGGAGGATGTACTGAAGAAATTTAATATGGATAATTGTAATACAATTTCAACTCCCATTGAGTCAAAATTAAATATTGAAGAAGATAATAAACAGGAATGCAACCAACCGTATAGACAACTTGTGGGTAGTCTCATGTATGCAATGTTGGGGTCACGCCCAGATTTAAGCTATGCTCTAAACTTCTTTTGTCGTTATCAAAGCAAACCAAATGAATGTCATTGGAACCATCTTAAAAGAGTTTTGAGATATGTTAAAGGAACACTAAATAATGGATTGTGTTTTCACAGACAGTCTAATAACACTGAACTAATAGGTTTTGTTGATGCAGATTGAGCATCTAGTACAATCATAGATAATAAAGAATGGATAGGCCATGTATGCTTATCGTTGAGGAACGAACATGAAATAATTTATGATAAGACCACAGAATATTCTGTTGATTATTCTGTGATAAGACCGCTATTAGAATGAGAAGCATTGATAAAATCAGTCCTTCTCTCTTCCCCATTCCGGCACATGACCCTCTATTTGGTTAATATAGCAATGGCCTATCCATTCTTTATTATCTATGAGTACAATAGACCGAAGATCCAAAACCGGTTATTTATTCAAAGTCTTTAATTGTTTGGTATCATGGAGTACAAAAAGACAGCCAACTGTTGCTCTATCATCCACTGAAGCCGAGTATATGGCGGTTTCAAATGCAACTTGTGAAGCAATATGGATTAGAAAACTGTTAAAAGATCTTGATGTAACAATTTGTGGACCGGTGATCTTATTTGAAGACAATCAAGGAGCAATAAATCTATCATCATCTCAAGAACTACACAAGCGTAGTAAACATATAGACACAAAACATAATTTTATTCGTGAAAAGGTGAAGGAAGGACTCATTGAACTAAAATATATTCCAACATCAAATCAATTAGCAGATTTATTAACTAAAGGCCTAGGAAACGAACAATTCAAGCGATTATTGAAAATGATCATTGAATGAAAGAATTATTGTTATTATTCGATTTATTATTTATTATAAGATTATTAAAAAAAAAAAAAATTATAATTCATATAATATATTATACATTGTTTGTTAAAATATAATGATTGTTATTCGATTAACAGCTGTATTTTGAGGTTATGTGTTTTTTGCCTCAGTGTCAGTCTGTGTAATGCTTCTCTCAACTTAATAAAAATGTGTTCGATACTAAAATAGTGTAATTACTTAATACTTTTCCTTTAGGAAGGATTGTGAAAACGGCGAAGTTTCATACTGGAGATGTGAGGAAGTTGAAAAATGTCGTGGCAGAATTAACTTAAAAAATGATTTAGTTATTAAAGATTCTTCATTCAGACATATACATGTCCACAATCCAGCTAAAATTGAAGTCAAAACTTTAACTGAAGTAATGAAAAAAAGTGCTTTAACTACTCAACACAATCCAAGTAAAATTATTAGTGATATTATAATAACAGCGTCATCGAATATAATTCAAGGCAATCTCACAAGTGTATAAAATCTTAAAAGAATTATTCAGTGAACTAGGCAACGTAATCAACGTTCTAGATCTAATCCACTAACTTTGAAAGATTTAGGAGAAATACCAAACATGTATAAACAAACAAACATTGGAAGTAAGTTTTTGTTGTTTGATAATTACAAAATTAACGGTCTTACAAAGAATAGAATTTTAAAATTTTGTACAAGTGAAGGATTAAATTTAATGTCTGAATCTGAACATTGGTTCGCCGACAGTACTTAAAAGCGCTCCTTCTATATTTATACAAATATACACAATTCACGTATTGAAATATAATACTAAAATACCAGTAGTTTTTGCATTATTACCTGATAAAAGTAATGCAACATATTCTTATTTAATCAAAATACTATAATCGCATAAACCATTAAATCCTAAAACTATTATGACTGACTTTGAACAAAGTGCAATATTGGCATTTAAGGAAAATTTTCAAAATATAATTTCTCGTGGTTGCCACTTTCACTTAAGTCAATGTGAATGAAAAATATCTAACTGATGCAGAATTATGTATTCAATACAATTGTTACCAGGCTCTTGCTCATGTACCAGTACTTGGCAAAGACTAATAATTCTGCCAAGGTTAATTTATTTTTATGAATAAATATATCTAAAATGTATTAAGTATGTTTAATAGATTATTACATATTATTTAGGTTGGAATAGTGGTTTTAATAATTTACTTGGATCGTGTCACCCAACACTTTGGAAACTCATAGAAGGGTTCAAATAAGAAATATTGCAAATTATTTGAAATATAATATAATATCACTACAATATAATATCTAATATAATTTATCACTACAGGTATAAATTGTAAATATAATATAATATCTTTTATCTTTTTTTATATTTAATTTGAAGTATGACTATGTTTGACTTATAATATTAATAATTTTGAAATAATATACTTTTTAGATACCTAATATAATTATTTTAAAATAATATACTTTAGCTATTTTGAACATTCGCTATTATGGCTTTAAGATATTTTATACATAGCTATTTTGTAGTAGCTGTTTTGACATTCGCTTTTTTGGATTCCCGGTTATTACGGGTTACCAGATCAACATTATTGGAATATGAACGTTAACAAATAAATTACATAATTAGTGTTTTTATTTTTTACTGTCACCAGCTGAATTCAAATTAAAACCCTCAACATAAGCTATGCTTATAGGGGACTTTCCAATCTTTATTACTTTATTTTATACTTCAAAACTATAAATGATTCTTATTTCTTGATTTGCAAATAATAAATCATTATTATTATTATTATTATTAAAAATAGTAACAGTATTTGATAGAATGAAAAATCTAAAAATGATAACTTACCGGTATAATCTTTCAATATGAAGAACAAAAGTATTTAAATCACATTCAGGAAGCTACGAGTTTGACATCAAAATGGATGGTAAATGAGCTGATAAATAAATAAAATATTTTGTGAAATATTTTCATTAAATTTATTCAATGCTATGTAAGAACAGATTTTGATTAGCATATGATAAGATAAATCGATAAATATTTCTATAGTTAAGGCATTTTATTTACATCTAATCATTATTTTTCATAAAAAGGCAAGGAATCTACGAACAATATTTCTAGTTTAGGCTAAATTTATTAAATAGAATCAATATTTAAGTTCCTATATGTATAAATGTATCATTTTAGGATTTAGTGTACTTCTATTTCATTGTACACTACATTGCCAACCGGTGTCAAACAAATAAAACAAATATTAGAGAAAAAAGTATTTACCATATAACTAACTTTTATAAAGTAATAAAAATTCCTATATAACATGGGAGGCCAACAATGAGTTTCAAACCGCAAAATTATAATGAAAAATAGTATGAAGAGCAGAAAACGGAATAATATTTATTATTATATAACTAAAAATGTTAAGACAAGGGCCACACTTTGGAAAACCCTACCATAAAAGCCCTTCAGAATTAATATAAAATAATGTATTTGTGTTTGATACATACCAAGAAATCTCAATAGATATAAGGGACCATACAGATAACACCAAATTTTATTTCGACATAGAATTTTATTTGAAGAAATAGGTGATATTTAGTTGATTGTTCCTTCTTTGCTGAAAATATTGAATGCCCTTAAACAGACAATGTACATACATAATTATTATAAAAATTGCTTATTCATTTATTTCAAGAAGTTAAATAAGTTCATAATAATTAATAATTATAGAACAAAACTCTAGAAATTAATATTGCAGCAAGGCAAATTATATTCTCCGATAATATAACTGATGACTACTTCCACTTCGAGCAATAAGATTGTGATGGGATTTGCAATCAATGTAGTAACAATTAAGTTTTATATTTCTCTTTCAATGTAATTTTATTGAATATTACTTGATTGTGCATAGATTTATAATACACTAAAAAAAGCTTATCCAACATTTTTATTTACAAGTAAATGAGAACTTTTATTAAGAATAGCATCATACATTACCAGATGAATTTAAGACTTCCTCATTCAGTGACCTACCCAATTTACACTTTCAACAACTACTATACAGCAAAACAATTACCTGGTTTGATAAATATTCATTAAAATAATATAATTCATAAGTTTTCAAGACACCACAAAGAATATTTTTGAATTATACCAAAACACTTATTTTATAATATAAATATTTAATTTTATCAAAATTCAAACTTCAATTCTTATTTTAAATATTTAATTTCGTCAAAATTTAAACTTAAAATGTCCAAAAAAAATTTATAAATATATTTTTAAGATTTTTAAATTTTAGTAATTACTACATATGATAGGAGCATTGCATACATTTTCAACTACAAAATAGTTGGTTAAATTGTCATCATTTTTTTTTAAATTATGTAAACAATTTTAACTTTAAACACTTATAGAAACAATAGTGATTACGTATTTTTGATATTTGTTGTATGCGATACACTTTATGAAGAACCTTGTATAAAGATTTTGAATCAAAGCTAAATAATTTTATTATACTGAAATTGTAAACAAACTAAAAAAAAATGAACATATAAAATATCTATAAGTACTTAACTAAATATTACAGATAAATTTTAATTTAGAGCTCTTTAAAGTAGTAACTAGGTCTAACCAAAAATCATGTCAAATTTAAGATCAAAGTGTTGTTCTTTTTATAGAAAGTGTACACAAACGTTTGATAACATAATTGTAAAATCAATACATTTATCTCAGCTCAGATTCTTAAGTTATTAGTATTTTAAATATTTAAATATGAAAGTCATTAAATTATATCATTGAATTAAAAAACATGCTTTATTTCACATGATTGGTTTTGTACTATTAAATTTCTATATAATTTGAATCTTTTTTCATTAACGTATAATAGATGTTTGCTAACATAAGAGTTAAAATATTGCATCAGCGTTACACATAACATCGTTGAACTTTTCCTGAAACAAATATTGTAAAATTGTTTATCAACAATAAGTTTAGATAGTCATTAAATAATTACTTTTCGCTATCATCGTCAAAATAGGTTGACTGAGTGAAAGCGTATACAATTTCTGCCAAAAAATGTTTTTCTGGAAATGTTAATATCTAAAACCAAGCAATCAATATAACAGTGATAATAATCATAATATATAAAAATAAAACGTATCATACATTTTGAAATGTGTTGTTCATCACAAAATCCAAAAACAATGCTTTTTGTAAATTATGGGGTACAGCAATATTATGCAATTTGTCGGCAAGAAGCTAAAATAAAAATAAAATAAAAATAGATATCTAACTGAAATTCTTAACTTTATTTTTTATACTTATTGTAATACCTTTGAATGTGGATTGATGTTTGGGATAATATTTGAGATCTTATCTGTTTTTCTCAATGCTGGTTTTGGTGAAGCATTTTTTGTAGTATTAGATTTTTTAGATTTTTTTACTTTTTTTGATCTTTTGGCAGGTTTCCTACTTCTATAATTATAATAAATAAATGGTGAAAAGTGATGAGTAGTAATAATTCATTAATTTCTTACCGTAGCTTAGATAATAACCTATTCACAAGCTAAATTAATTTCATTCATCTCTAATACGTAGTTTTCATTAATCCAATCGTCAAATTTGGAGTTGAAACCAACAAAATGAAGAAGGTACTGGGTACTAGCCATAGTCATGCCTCTTTTTAAACATTTGGCGTCATATCGTATATCAGGGGTGGCCAACTTTGATAGACCTGCGATCGACCTCCGAGTTTTTCTAGATGGTCGTGATCGACCAAAAAAAAAAAGGTTGTCAATAAACAAAAAATATATTATATGTACAGGCGTGTTACACCACTTATTTTATTACTTTTTATTTACAATACAAATTCGCAGTTTAACACTATAACACTACACGTATTTTAATATATTTGATTACAAATAATTATCAGTTTATACGAACGCGATAAAGGCCATTAATAGGAAGTAATGCGGGCTATCCATTCTATAATACGATAGTTAATAGATATCAGTGTATAATCTTGTTTTTCATAGTTATTTATTGTCTTTTTCTAAATCTAATTTTTATATTTGTGGGATATACAAAGATACACAAATTGTTCAAAAATTTAAGAAAATGCGAAAGGGTGTCGCGATCGACCGGTTGGCAACCCCTGTAGTATATCATTATAATAAGCCAACACTTTGTCACCTAATTAAGAATAAAACATTACAATTTAGAAATAAAAAACAATATTTTATGTGTTTTAAACAATATTTATATGTGATTTAATTTAATTCATTATAATATTTACAATAGTCATATTCTAATGATTACTGTAGTCAGTGTTGAAACCTGCCTTAAGTTAGGTTAGAAGTTAGTTTTGAGCCTAAGAGAAATGCAACAAAATGAGAGAAATTTCATTGTATTTGCAATAAGTTGATAGATGATGGATCATATGTATTCATAATTAAGTATCTACGGGGCTCAATAATGAGAAATATAACAATTTAAAAGAGGCTAATTTACTTAATGATAATATTCAAATATTTGATAAAGTACACACAAAAAAATATTCCTCTTTATTCAGAAACAAGCCAATGCTATACGACCAAACAAATACATTTTTTTTTTTATCTATTTGCCAGTTATTTTGTAACAAATAGTCTTCCTGTTATCTGTTGAAAACTGATCATTTAAATATACAGTTTATTAGGAAAGTTTGAACACAAATTGGTTAAAGTTACAATTATAGATTTAACTTTAAATTGATTTTTGAATGATTTTATAAGAACCTATCTTGGAAGTTCTGTTTTTTTTATTTTTATTATTATTGAATACAACAATAATATTTCTTTTAATATCATTACACTATTTAATGTGATATATTTTAATTATACCTTCCTGTGCAACCTTACATAATCCAAGTTAGCCAATTTCGATAGAGTATCAGAGAGTAATTTGTTAGTTACTTTAAGAATTCAACAAACATTATCCACATGATAGACTAATTCAGACTGTTCATTTACATTATGACTAATCTTTAAGGAATCTATTTCTCTTGCATCTTCATACATTTGTTTTCAATATAAACTAATTCCTGGCTATTATATTAACTTTAGTTACCAAAATGTCTAATTTGGAGAAATTATCAACTTTATCAGAACATAAGGATATTGACTATTGCACTTCATTCAATGGATTAGCCAGCAAATTAAATTTATTGAAGAGGATACCATATCCGTCTGCATTGTCTCCATTTTATAAATGCATAACACAACAAATAGTATGTGCTAAGTTATTAATTTACCTAACTCTGTTATGTTTAATTTTAGAGTGAATTTTTTTTTCTATTTTAATTTAATAGCAAACAATTAGATAGCAATTCACAATTTTAAAATTCTCAGCATCTTGCTTTAAAATTAAAGAATAAAAACCTATGTCATTTACTAGATAATCTTTTTAATTCTAAATTTAGTAGAAGGTCAATTAACCCTAAAATTAGGAAAGTTAAAAGAATTATTCAGAGTGTAAAATTTGTAATGTTATGTGATTTCCAGACAGAGACAATGCATTCGGATATGATGCTCTCTGAACTTTATCAGAATAGACAATTAATATCATAGTAAAATCTACTGGACTAAATTTACCTAGTAAAATGCTCCAAATCAACAAAGTTTTGTGAAGACAAACACATATCACACACCCATTTACTTTGTTACTAAATTTATAAACAGTAGTGTAAACGTAACTAAATAACACTATTTTGTGTACACAACGGTTGAAATTCTGAACATTGGATGTCTTAGTTGGAGACCCTATTTCACAGTTGATTACAAACCACACAAGACATTATAGTAGAGAAAACGATTATAATGAGACACAATAAACCATTTATAAAATAACATAGGTAACAGACCGAGAATAATAGACTACTTAACACTATGAAAGTCAGATTAGAACTAAATACAATGAGTACTATATTATTTTAGTGATATTATAGATATTTTTTAGATAATAGGTACGTATATAAATATACCAAAAAATGTACTACACTGTAAATTGTTTTAATTAATAAAAGATATTCATTAATATTCATTCTTCCTAAACAAATTTGTATTATCTATTTAAATATTTGGTGGGAGTATTTATCCTAAATAATTTGAATCTCAATTCTTTTATCTTGACTAGCACACCAATGCTGCGACTTCAGTTGTTCACAATTATTATTATTAAAAAACAGTAGACATTCGAGATAAAAGAAGTCATTACGATATTATAGTAATTATTAATAATAGTCATTAATAATATACAAATTACAATAACTTATAATATATAAATTNAATAGTCATTAATAATATACAAATTACAATAACTTATAATATATAAATTACACATAATTAGAATAAAAAGTTGTTAAAGGCAGGATCTGCAATTGTCAAACATTATTATCTAGTCGTAAAGGCTCATTAGTCATTATCTATCTAATTGGTGGTGGGATGTGAGACGTAGAAGAGGGCACTAGAATGAGATGAACGATAATGAACTTTGAAGCAGATTAGAGAGGACAGGTAAATCGTTATTTTTGTTTAGCAGACCCACAATTTAATACCTGCTATACATCGACATTTGACTAAAGAAGGTAAGCAAAGGTGAGTAGCAATGGGCATACAATTATGAACAAGGTATCTTAAGTATAAAACTAGCATAATGTAGGAGTCTGAGTTGAACACACTCAAGTTATTTTGGATTTTAGTTATTATTTAGTATCTTGTAGGAGGATCTCGATCTACCTGTTACCTCACACAATCAAGGCTATTTTTTTATCTTAATACCTTCACATCATTAGCAAACAATATTATTTTTGAATATGCAAGATGCACTATTTACCAACAGAAAAAAAAACGAAGTGAAGATAAAATTGCTCGAGGAACACCAGACAAAGGCAGAGTAATTTGCGATTAAACCCATATAACTAACACACTACCTTGCACAATGCTGTTTGGTTGACAAATCTAGAGCTAATCCAGTATTGTAGAGATCCAGAAAAGCTTTAACCTGCACAGAACCTCTATGAGCACAATTCACTTGCATGCCAGTCAGCGTGAAGTCTGCCTCAAGTCAGCTTGGCAACAACTTGCTTTTGACAACTAATACATTAATTATATAGTTCACTAATAGCATATTATAATCACATAAATAACAAATAGGTACCAGCAGTTGAAACTTGTAAGATTTAATATCATATTGGGAATTCATTAGTAATGTCTACTGAATAGGTAGTTAACCCATTAGGTGCATGGCCAAGCAATTGGACGGGGGAATTGGCAGCATAATATCTACCAAACCGGGAGATGAACTTAACCGTACGGTTATTGTAATTAAACTAACCCTTGTTACTAACCCACGGCGAATTCAAATTTCCTTTTCCTATTCATTTTGTGTCACGAGATCAAAATATTAAATAAATCACAAATGAGTAATGACCGACACACGATATACCGACTCACAAGTACTGCAGGCAGCGGGCACACGGGAAATGTCGGATTGTATTGTCGACAGTCAACTGTCATAGCTAAAATGCGTCTCAATGCGATCATACCTAGTTATTTAGCCATGGATAAAACTACATATTTAAGATAAGAAAGCAGTAACATAAATCGTATGTCTGTTGTGCGCGAGTGCGCCGAGCGCGTCGGTCGATGTCTGTCAGGTCAGAGTAGAACTCAAGGACGTTATAAGCCAGAGGTGCAGTACTAAGGCTCCTTGGTGATCCCGCGTCTTATCACCACTTATTTCTCATCACTACGCGTACGGCACACACAAATGTTATTTTGTATTTTTCAAGATTTTCAAGGAGAAAAATTCGATACGTATCGATACGGAATAGTGACGTACCACCTCGTATCGGAGTCCGAGTCCGATACGGGTCGGTACGTATCGCTTGTACATTGCACGTGTAACATCTTGAACGCCCAAAATTGACCCGATACGTACCGATACACTCCAAATTCTTTACCACTTATTTTGTATTCGTTTTTTTTGTGCCATGTACGAATACGTCCTCTGTGAGTTGTTTTATTATATGTTCCATGCGTTCCGAACGAGCGCGCCCCTTCTACTCGCGTCGGTTTGAGGTTCGCGCTACGACGACCACGTCGCCGGCGACGGCACCAATCTAGCTTTTTTTGACGTACCATGTACCACCGCGACGCTGCGTTACCTCTGTGGCTCTGTTACAATCGTCGAACGATCCGGCCGCCATTCATACATGTGCCTTTTTAACACATTTTTGTTCTTTTATACGCGTCAGAATATGTACCGCGCTCGTTCCGATCTTTCTTAAACATTACTACACGTTTGTACTTTTTTCAACCAAATAAAGTTGTTACCGACTTATTCGCGTCTCACTACTCAACTGTGAATTGTATTGCTTAACAGCGTGGACATCATTATTGTGTAAGCGTAGAAACAACGTGTTAAGTCCTCAACCGTCCACGTTCCTACACTTACCAAAGCTCTATATATAATGGGTATGGCTATGCGACTCATTTATCAATATAAAAATGATACAACTCGGGCAATTTCAAATTCACAGTGATAAATGAGTCACAAAATGGTGGTTTAGCTACCTATTAGCTTTAATGCCGTAGCAGTACTTGCCGTCGTATGAGCCGTACTTGACAGTTGACATTTACATTTGTATGGTTTTCCATCACGCACTTGCTACACTGGTGCACCTAATTTCAATTTACTGCACTGGGCGAGTTTTTTGCACCAATATTAATTGACAAATAGTGAACGAATTTTTAAAACAATATTTTACTATCAGTCAGTATTATTTTGTAATAAAAAATATAAATCCTTAAAATGTTTGAAGTTTTGCGACATACAACCGTCAAAGTCATGAATAACCTTAAAGACATTAAACCAATTATATTTTATGTTTAGTGTATAAAAGTTTTAGAACGGAGAGATTCACTATGTAAAATACTGTAGAAAAGTTTGAAAAGTCAATTTTATTTCCTAGAAAAACATTGTATGAATCTTCGGTAACGTCAGAAAATCACTTACATTATGGTAAATTTACATTTAGCATAATACTATTCTTAATTCTCCAGTTTTTAAAATAAAATGGTTCAGGTTTTCTCTAAATACATTTTGCCTATGTGATATGTCATAATGATTTGGTGTAGGGTAATCTACACAATTTTGCATCAACAACAGAGTTATGGACTATCTTGTTGATATTTTAGCTTCTATTATAAATTTCAATGAAGGAACTCTCAATTAATCCATTGTTACTGAATCTTTATCAAATTTAGGCCTCTGGTCTTCCTGGATGCTTTGGTGGGTCTTCAATTCCCATAGAAACTCCTGCTCACTAACTTTAAAGAGCCAACATGCAATATGTGATAACAAAATAAAATGATTGATGTATTCACTGGTGCACCAGAGGATATCTATGGTTCAAGAGTATTTGCTCTATCAGACATTAATAAATAACTCCCTTTAATATGTGAAAATAAATACCATATTATTGAAGATTTAGCTTGTAGTATAAGATATAGGCTATTAGTACCATACAATAATTATGAGAACTTAAAAGACATCCAAATTCGTACTAGAGATTTAATTGAAAATTAATTTTTATGTTTAAATCCTGGTTCAGACAACTACTTCAGTTTGATATATACAATATGAACAAAATAACTAAGTTTGTTATTTCATGTTATGTAGGTATTAGGTACACGTATTGCGCATTGATATAGAAGATTATAATGAGTTGAGTGATCAAATACAACTGTTAGCAGATCTTGATAATTATTCAATTGATTTAGATATTGTCTTGAAAAAAAAAGGTCTTGAAAAAAAAAAGGAAAGCTAAACTCGAGATACTAAAAAATAGCTTACAATATTTTCAGTGCTACACTTTAGCTTTTCGATGTTATTATTCAATTTAAAAATGTATATTTCACCTTATAAATCATAATATAATATTTATAATAATAAATAATACTTAACGACCTATTTTTTTTAAAATCAGACAATGCTTAAATTGTATTATAAAATTAAAAAGATGTACATTCAAATTAATTGTATTTGCAAACATAAAAAAATAACAAATGTATAACTTAAATAAAGACTAGCTAAATTACCCGTCGTTGCCGGGTTACGGTAAAAAAATCAAATAGTTGAATAATAATTGTGTATATATAAATAAATATAAAGGATGTATCATGATACATCGTTAGAATAAAATAAAGAAATAACAAATGAATAACTTAAATAAAGATTTTTTGTCTTTAACAAGATATAATACAATTTTTGAATATTTCACTCTTTTAATGTCACATAAAATAATATTAATTGTGTTCACCCATTCTCGTTACATGATTAAATCGCCTCAACTTATTCTTCTTCATTTTGTCTAGAATTGGTAGTTTTTGAGTTTAAATACTAAGAATTTAATTTTTTTGGAACTTTAAATATAAGAAATGTTGGTGTTTGTATTCCCAATGTGTTGGTGAAATCAGAATTTTCTTATCTAGCTTACTTAATAAACTACTTAAGACCTACAGATAAATTGTACGTGGTTATTAATAACGATAAAAAAAATAAGTAAACCTATCGATTTCACCAACATGTAGGAGTGTTGTAGGACATAAAGCTACTAACATTTCCAAAAAAAAATTCCTTAACTACATTTGTTCCTAATGTTTAAATGCGTATACCGCTACACTGTATTTTTTGAAAAATCGGCATTCTTAGCGTTCCTCGCGGACAATGCTGTAAAATTACGACTCAAAAATATCAGATGGAATCAAGATTTTCAAGAAGAAAAATTCGATACCGAATATCAACGCTCAAAATTGCCTCCATACGTATCGATACACTCCAAATTCTTCCTTGAAAATCTTGAAAGGACTACACCGTATTATCTACATCACAGTCGTTATCTACACCATGCACCGTACGCAATCCGTAATAGTTACTATCGTCTATCACACATTCACACTATCTACTTATTCACTTCTTCAAGTGCATAATAGTGTTGTTTCACGACTTCTACAGCTATCGCGATTTTCTTTCGTCGCGTCACTGCGGCTTTGGTAATTGATATTTTACGCAACATAATACTACCTACATATTAATAAATATAATACTCTCCAATGTGAATTGTTTTTGTTTATCAACTAACTATTCAACTGTAAAAAAAATTATGGTTAATATTATTATCTATGAAAAAGTTCTCAAACGCAAACCGGTGCTGTGGGTACCACCCGTACCGTTACTGTTTTTTACTTATGTATATTTTTGTTTTGTAATTTTTATTAACTTCAACCAAAAGTTACTATTGCTCGACAAATAATTGAATAATAAGTAATAATTGAATTCATTATTGAATAAATTATGTTCGGTGCCGTTACAGCAAACCTTCGGGCATGAATTCGTGATAATTTTATGATAGGTCAGGTAGATGATGGATCGAAAATTATTTTCGTTTCGGTACTACTTAACAATGAACTTATTGTATTATTTAAATTGCGTCTCGGTGAACATAGAGAAAAACGCTGCAGCAGCTGAAATGCGTGTTATTTGCGAATTCTGTGTAGAAAGTTCAACGATCAACTACTGATATAATTGCAGTATAAATTATTCAATTAATAGAAATATAGTTGTTATAAATGATTTTTGATTTTAGTTCATTAGGAATCTTATGCATAAGTAAAATATATACAGTGCATATAATACTTTCACTATATAGCCCAAAATAGTTTGTGTAGCCTACAAACTGTACACCAAAACTGTGTCAGCAAATAACTCTTTTAGTCTCCACAATTGTGTGCTCGAACAAGTTAGATTTAAGAATATAGTTGCTTTCGTCACAGCATACTGTCGCTGTACCAAATAGTGTACATATTCATATACTATTGTCTATATTGCAATCCAATACAATTATACAAGATTATTGCAATAGTACCTCTACTACTGTGGGTATGTATTTTGCCTCCGTTACTTGGGGTAGTCGGTAGTATTAACCTCAAAACATTTTTTTTGTTTGAAACAACTGCCAGTTACTATATTATGCA